ATACAGATCTAAAAGTCTATGATATTTTCGCTTTGCCCCTATACCGGTAGTTACAGTAAAAAGATACAGCCTGTAAAACTTTTAATGACTTTCGCTATATTAACTGTTATCATGGAGATTGTCGAGCGCGCAGCGTAGTGGTGATGCGTGCGAGAGGCGTGGCGTTGCGTGGAGGGCCTCTTATAGCAAAAGCGAGTTCAGTCCTTGGCTTATTAAAGTCAACAAATCGATGTTTAACCGTTCCTGCTGAGGGCAAAAGAATTATCAGGACACTTACTCTTTCGCATACACGAAAAGTAAATTTCATTGTCCTTCAATAAAGTGAGAAAATGGTAGGTCAGCGCTGAAACAAAAAAATTTTGGCACTCGGTCCGTTAAGGACCAGTCCTCAAAAATGTCTGATAGTCTGACCTTCCCCCACTGCCCTGTTGACCTGGACCTCAATTTCCAACTGGATGGGTTTCCCCCATCACACTATAGATCGAATACTATAAGAGGTAGTCGAGCCGTTGGAGATTTGTGCCCGCAAATTTCCGTACATTTCCTCTATACCTTAAGTTAAGTAGGGACAATATTCCACCTCCATTGACACATCTTGACCTTTGCCCTTAACCCCCAAAATTCGACATTCCGAGTCCTTTTCGTGATCCCCCCCGACGTCCCAAAATATCAAGACCGTACGTCGAGCGCGTTAAGATTTTGTGCGTAACTGTTAGACACACGGACGCGACGGCCTGGACAATTATCGCGTCCTTATCTTAGCAACTGATCATCTAATTAAATATGAATGCGTTGTAATATAATTCAAAGCTATATGTGTGCGCTTGTCTGCTGTGCGTGCGTGGTGAGTTCGGCCGTTGCATTGTGTTGCGTAACTGCCGCATGCTTATGGGTGTGTGGGCGTGCGTCGTAATCTTGACATGCCAGTATACTCACGACCCACTGCTGTTCCATTCCAGCATTCTATTTTGATGAGCGGGTCGTAGTCTCCGGTACACAGCCAGACGCACGGAACGTAACGCGCCGACCATGTTGATTCAGCGTGTTTTTGATGACTCGGTGCGATACGTCGAGAAATATAGGCTGAAAGAGATGCATCGTAGAAACGTTGCAAATGTTCGATAAAACCACAAACCTAAAACATCATTACCGTTCCACAAATTCAGGTCGCATTGCTTTTGGATACAAACTCGAGCCATGACAATCATGTAATTATATCTGTAACAGTACTGTATATCTGTAACAGTACTGTATATCTGTAACAGTACTGTATATCTGTAACAGTACTGTATATCTGTAACAGTACTGTATATCTGTAACAGTACTGTATATCTGTAAACAGTATGTATATCTGTAACAGTACTGTATATCTTCAGACAAGTACTGTTATCTGTAACAGTTACTGTATATCTGTAACAGTACTGTATATCTGTACAGTACGTATATCTGTAACAGTACTGTATATCTGTAACTGTACTGTATATCTGTAACTGTACTGTATATCTGTAACTGATATAAATTAATAATCATTGTAAACCTTAACAATCATCGCTGAAACATATATTCCCCTAGCTACCCATGTTTTGTTCTCAACATAGTTTTGCCACGTTTATTACTCTGGGTTTCCACCATTAGCACATACTACGTAATAAGATAAGTAATTCCATATTATTATATAATACATTATATATTATATCAAGTACTACTATGCGATCTGATGACATGAAGAATCTGCCTTCACTTATACGCATTCCTAAATTGCTCAACATCAGAAGAACAATTATAACTTTATAGGCGAAAATGGCCCGGAACCCCACCTGCCATCCTCATTGCCTTGGTGGAACGGAAAGAAAAGATCAGACTTTCGTAAGAAACTTCTTTCTTAGTCGTGTTTCTTTTGCCCGTTGAATCGCAGCGTTATCTTCCTCCTTGCCTTCAAAGATTTCGACCCATAAATCAACAAGCCAGAAAACTCGCCAAATGCCGTGGCTTTTATAAGTATAGCAGTGACTCTAAACCCATCAAAACCATCGCAAATGCTGCACAGTAAAACTTAATCAACTACCACATTGGCATACACTTTACAAATGAATTCACAGGAAAAAACTCACACTGCATTACACCCCACAACATGCTACAGACAATATATAGACTTTGTACACGCACACGCAGCGCATCGCACGCACGCACGCAAACGCACGCACACACACACACATACGCATGCGACACACCACACACGCACACACACACACACACACACACACACACGCACACACACACACACACATACGCATGCACAACACACACACACACAACACACGCGACACGCACACGGCGCAACGCGCCAGCGCACACGCACACGCACACGCACCTATGCGCATGGCACACGCCACACACACACAGACACATGGCACGCACGCACGCACGCACGCACGCCGCCACGCACGCACGCTACGCAACGCACGCACACGCACACGCACACCGACACACACCACGCACGCGACGCACGCACGCACGCACGCACGCACGCACGCACCACCACGCACGCACGGCACGCAGCACACACAACACGTCATGCTACATTAGGTACTTAAGTGTCTCTACCTACGCTACCTTGCAGCTGGATACATCCTTCAGATGACACTCGCTTTAAAAAATTAAGCATAAGTATTTATGATACGAAACGCGTTCATATAACGGCGAGACAGATTTTGCCTTCGAAAACGGCCACGAACCTTTTATTCTCACAAGAGACGAGTCGACCAACTCAACTTACGACTCACTTTCAAACGCTTAGTGCGCATGCTGTTAGTCTGCTATCTAGATGCGCAGTTAGTTTCACGGGACGCAAACAATGCGGAGGGGGAATCATTCCGGACACACTTCCTTGTGCTTATCGACCTCGCTTCCGTCATGGAAAAGCCGCCAGGTGGCGCTCACCAAATGATGGCGCCTTCGTTTTTTCGTCGGCCCTGCAAGCGGCTTCCTCAGCACTGCCTCATGTGACGACTATGCCAGCCGCTGCACTTCCAACGATCCGCAGGAAATCTGCAGCGGTGTTCACGAGAGAGAGAGACAAGAAGAAACCGCATGCGAGCATGTGCGTGAAGCTTAAACGTATATATTGTCACTGATAGTCACCGATTAGCATGTTTAACGGATGATGACGATCGATGACGATGATGATGATGATGATGATGAGATGATGATGATGACGATACTTTTTAGTATTGGCTGATTACGATTTTCTGCCACTTTTATCTTTGCTATATTGCTAGATTAATTAGCCTAGCTAGCTTCTACAAAAGAATGCTAACACTGATGTCTATCTCAAAGAGACGGATGTAGATTAATTACAATTTTCACCACAATTGTTTTCGCATGACCCTCACTCTACATGAGCTTACAGCAGATCATTCTTCAGTGTTTAACATTGCTTTTACTTCGTTAGCTACTGTATTAAATCTTTGAATGAGAATCGCAGATTAACATGTGTAGAAATCCTGAGCATAAACCATTTGATTATTGCTGACTGCAACACTTTCCATGCCAATGCAAAGCATGATTATGCTTACTGACATGCCTGAAAATGCAGTACATACGCATGTGTGCTATCTCACGTGCCTGTGACATTCTAACCGGTTAGCCATCTCACACTAGAAAGCTGACGGAAATCGTTTGCAATTCTACTTTTACTTTCTCCAATCTCCTATATGTGCCCAACGTTGTGCAGTATCAAGTAAAGGTATGTGTGGATTTACTTACAGGCTCACGCCAAGTTTCTACTTTGCACTGTCCACATTTCAATAT